TAGATGATTAGAAATAATAGATGATTAGAAATAATAGATGATTAGAAACAATAGATGATTAGAAATAATAGATGATTAGAAATAATAGATGATTAGAAACAATAGATGATTAGAAACAATAGATGATTAGAAATAATAGATGATTAGAAACAATAGATGATTAGAAACAATAGATGATTAGAAATAATAGATGATTAGAAACAATAGATGATTAGAAATAATAGATGATTAGAAATAATAGATGATTAGAAATAATAGATGATTAGAAACAATAGATGATTAGAAATAATAGATGATTAGAAACAATAGATGATTAGAAATAATAGATGATTAGAAATAATAGATGATTAGAAACAATAGATGATTAGAAATAATAGATGATTAGAAATAATAGATGATTAGAAACAATAGATGATTAGAAATAATAGATGATTAGAAATAATAGATGATTAGAAATAATAGATGATTAGAAACAATAGATGATTAGAAATAATAGATGATTAGAAATAATAGATGATTAGAAACAATAGATGATTAGAAACAATAGATGATTAGAAATAATAGATGATTAGAAACAATAGATGATTAGAAATAATAGATGATTAGAAATAATAGATGATTAGAAACAATAGATGATTAGAAATAATAGATGATTAGAAATAATAGATGATTAGAAATAATAGATGATTAGAAATAATAGATGATTAGAAATAATAGATGATTAGAAATAATAGATGATTAGAAATAATAGATGATTAGAAATAATAGATGATTAGAAACAATAGATGATTAGAAATAATAGATGATTAGAAATAATAGATGATTAGAAATAATAGATGATTAGAAATAATAGATGATTAGAAATAATAGATGATTAGAAATAATAGATGATTAGAAACAATAGATGATTAGAAATAATAGATGATTAGAAATAATAGATGATTAGAAATAATAGATGATTAGAAATAATAGATGATTAGAAATAATAGATGATTAGAAATAATAGATGATTAGAAATAATAGATGATTAGAAATAATAGATGATTAGAAATAATAGATGATTAGAAATAATAGATGATTAGAAATAATAGATGATTAGAAATAATAGATGATTAGAAACAATAGATGATTAGAAATAATAGATGATTAGAAATAATAGATGATTAGAAATAATAGATGATTAGAAACAATAGATGATTAGAAATAATAGATGATTAGAAACAATAGATGATTAGAAATAATAGATGATTAGAAATAATAGATGATTAGAAATAATAGATGATTAGAAATAATAGATGATTAGAAATAATAGATGATTAGAAACAATAGATGATTAGAAACAATAGATGATTAGAAACAATAGATGATTAGAAATAATAGATGATTAGAAATAATAGATGATTAGAAATAATAGATGATTAGAAATAATAGATGATTAGAAACAATAGATGATTAGAAATAATAGATGATTAGAAATAATAGATGATTAGAAACAATAGATGATTAGAAACAATAGATGATTAGAAATAATAGATGATTAGAAACAATAGATGATTAGAAATAATAGATGATTAGAAATAATAGATGATTAGAAACAATAGATGATTAGAAATAATAGATGATTAGAAATAATAGATGATTAGAAATAATAGATGATTAGAAATAATAGATGATTAGAAACAATAGATGATTAGAAATAATAGATGATTAGAAACAATAGATGATTAGAAACAATAGATGATTAGAAATAATAGATGATTAGAAATAATAGATGATTAGAAACAATAGATGATTAGAAATAATAGATGATTAGAAATAATAGATGATTAGAAACAATAGATGATTAGAAATAATAGATGATTAGAAATAATAGATGATTAGAAATAATAGATGATTAGAAATAATAGATGATTAGAAATAATAGATGATTAGAAATAATAGATGATTAGAAACAATAGATGATTAGAAACAATAGATGATTAGAAACAATAGATGATTAGAAATAATAGATGATTAGAAATAATAGATGATTAGAAATAATAGATGATTAGAAATAATAGATGATTAGAAATAATAGATGATTAGAAACAATAGATGATTAGAAATAATAGATGATTAGAAACAATAGATGATTAGAAACAATAGATGATTAGAAACAATAGATGATTAGAAACAATAGATGATTAGAAATAATAGATGATTAGAAATAATAGATGATTAGAAATAATAGATGATTAGAAATAATAGATGATTAGAAATAATAGATGATTAGAAACAATAGATGATTAGAAACAATAGATGATTAGAAATAATAGATGATTAGAAACAATAGATGATTAGAAACAATAGATGATTAGAAACAATAGATGATTAGAAATAATAGATGATTAGAAATAATAGATGATTAGAAATAATAGATGATTAGAAATAATAGATGATTAGAAATAATAGATGATTAGAAATAATAGATGATTAGAAATAATAGATGATTAGAAACAATAGATGATTAGAAACAATAGATGATTAGAAACAATAGATGATTAGAAACAATAGATGATTAGAAATAATAGATGATTAGAAATAATAGATGATTAGAAATAATAGATGATTAGAAACAATAGATGATTAGAAATAATAGATGATTAGAAATAATAGATGATTAGAAACAATAGATGATTAGAAATAATAGATGATTAGAAATAATAGATGATTAGAAATAATAGATGATTAGAAATAATAGATGATTAGAAATAATAGATGATTAGAAATAATAGATGATTAGAAATAATAGATGATTAGAAACAATAGATGATTAGAAACAATAGATGATTAGAAACAATAGATGATTAGAAATAATAGATGATTAGAAATAATAGTGCCAACTACAATTATAGCGTCATACTGTACTTAGATGCATCTAAAGCACTCAATTCTTCTTTTTTTAAAACATGATTGTATAACAATCATACAAAACGAACAGGAACACACACACTAGGTTTTAATTCGGTAAAATTCCATTCGAAAATTAAATGATTCTCAAAATGTAGGTGTCTAATGAAAATGTGATACTACTGCGTGACAAAGTTAAGAATGCCGTAGTGAAAGAGAGTTAAGAGAGTTAACTGTCGATAAATTCATGTGAGGTACTATCGAAGTACATGATTGTATAACATACAATCATACAAATAACGAAATAATGCAGAGGAGTATAACTTAAATATTAATATTATGAGTTAATAATAGTAACGATAATAAACTGAGAGGTGGTGTCCCCCCCCCCCCCCCCCCGATATTGTTATAATCACCTCATGGAACGCCTCTGGAATAAATTAATAACAATGCCAGTAAATACACATGATCAGTAATCAGTGGCGTAACGTTGCCTGTTGGCGCCCCCCTGCCGAAAAAAGCGCCCCCCTGTTGGCGCCCCTCCCCTTTTGGTGCCCCTCCCTAAAATTGAACAAATTAGGTGATTTTAAAGAATACGCCGGTAAAATCTCTAAAAAAGTGTGTATCTAGAGCAAAACGCGCAGTTTTGCCAGTACTTTAGTTAAGTTTTCGAAATTGTCCCATATTCAAACGACGATTTGGCGCCCCCCCCCCCCCCCCCCTAAGACGGCGCCCCCCCCCCCCCCCCCCCCCCCCCCCCCCCCCCCCCCCCTGCACAGCGGGGTCAGCAGGGCCTTTCGTTACGCCACTGTCAGTAATATGGTACAGGTGCTAACTTTGAGGTTTACAATATTTTAAGAAAATGTTACAACCTTCGGAGGGAATAGAGGATGATATTTTCATGTTAAAGTACAAGTAACTGTCTTGATATTTCGTTATTTGGTTGGCCCTCATCTAAATGTTAACATAACATTACGAGAGGTGGTGCCTGGTGGTATCGAGCCTGACATAGTATGAAGGGATTTTAATCTTTCATCGAAATAATTTTATATAATATGACTAGAAAACCCGTGGTCACAGAGAGGAAGCTATAGTAATATTATTTGAGAGAAAGCTTTAATCGCATTAAAAAATGTTCGTCCCAACCGAAAATACATCCGATTTAATGTAAAACACAACGTAATTACCACAAAACCGATCAAAATGCCGTTCCAAAAATCTTTGCACAAAAAAAATTTATAATAGGAAATCTATTGATGAAGATTAATGAACAAATTTTTGATATTTTATTGTTCTAAAACAGAAAAATTGCCGATTTTTTGTTTTAAAACAGAAATACTGCCGATTTTTGTTTTTAAAACAGAAATACTGACGATTATTCACACTCTTCATTACAGAATCAGAAGGTATACCTGAGCAAGAACTTAAAGGAAAGCGAGAACGCACTACGTGAACTGGTAGAGAGCAAGAAAACGACGATTGCAAAATAATCACGAACATTTTCATCTTTTACGCCTCTGTAGTGGTTTTCTCTTTGTGTTTATATTTGCTGTTATATTTGTAGAGTTAATTGGACGGTTTTCTGTTCTCTGGGCTATATCTTTTGTAAAATAACATTATTTGTCAATCGCTGTGTTTTCTCTTCGGTTTTGTCATCTTAAAGCATCTCGGTGAATCAAAACAAATATTTGGTGACTGAAAATGAAATACCGTTGTAATGAAATAACGTTGTAAATTTAATGGTAATGTTTAGTCAGCTTATCTTGAGTTTGGTCAAAGTTCACTCCATCACCCCATGATGATATATTAAATGTCAAAAATCAAGAATTTCTCACTCGCCAGCTAGCTTGAAGTGCTGCCGTTAGATGACCTGTATTTGTAAAGCTGTGCTTCCACATTGATACCAGTTTTGGTCCTCCAGCTCTGATGCGATTAATTTAACCAAATTGTGCTGACAAAAATCGATCATCTAGCTCTCGTTATAACTTTATAAGACTCCTACAAAATTGGATTTGAGGTAGGTCAACCTGCGTAACATATGGTGTTAATTACATAAGTAATTCTTAGATTAAATCTCAAGATCTCAGAATTGTAACTTGAAGACTAGGAGAGACTTGACCCCGAATGTATGTTTGGTGTTTTGCCGTTGTGAGCTGATCGTACCCAACAATGATAACCATCCTCCTCTCTTTGTTTACCCTCCACTCCTCTGTTAGCGGGGACTTTCCTTATACTTGGAGATGTAACACCACCTCATCTGCTTGCACTCGGCAACTGAAAGGTCAGTGCAACGGGATAGTAACGTACTACATTATACATTATTAAATATGTTTGTACATATGTTTTACAATATCAATGTAAGGGTAGTTAAAACCTAGTGTGTTTCAGTTTGTAGTTGTACAATGTACATTTGATTTTCAGTATCGTATCTTTCTGATGACTTCTGACTTCATGACTTGATTGACAACGTCAACCCTTCCAGATCGTTGCTCTGCTAAAGTTTATATAGTTTGCGCGGCGCGTCGAAGCGGCGAAGTCCTCCAATTCATGACCCTCAAGATATTCATATTGAAATTCATGGCATCGAACTTCTACTTTAGCAATACTACATTACCAATACTAATGATACTAATAGTAATAATAGCAGTGCCAGTAGTGCAATGCTGCATCATCTACCATATCTAAGTGTTCATTCTCTACACTCTAGCTGAAAAGGCATCGTATTCGTACACGGTGTACAGAAAATGTACAAACAATGTATTAAAATCTACAAAGCCAGAGAGAGATAATTCAACGCGCACACAAAACTACTGATAAAACGAAGATTACCTGCATGGTATTGGCCGCCGGCCGGACGAACATATAGTTATACGAGAAATGTAATGAGAATATTTAATCCGCAGTTGATGACGAGAGTTTCACGCCCCCGTCCAAGTGTAAGTTGGAATGTGTCTCAACAGCCAAAGAAGACAAAGGTGCTCCCTCTACCCGGGTGTTGTGGCCGCGTCCTAAAGAGGTGTCCGGGAACTCCGGACAAGCTTCAGCTGTTAATATGAGGGATCTCTCGTGAGTAACAGTAACACAGGAGCTTCTGGATTTGTTTAGGCAACTTTGCCAGTTGGGTCACACTTGGGTGCAACTAGTATTGATAATAAAATGTTATATGAGAGGCCTGCAATAACTATATAAGTAACGGTATAATCTTACCTGTCTGATTGATCAGTAATTTATGAATGAAGCGAGTGATCGGGGGGTGATACTGATTTAAAATCCCGAATCAGGGTAGAATTAAAGTGCATCGAGTCATGATTCAGGTGGGTTTTACCCGTGGGGGGGGGGGGGCTTTCAGAAAGATCTTGAAGTTCGAGTGTAGAGTGATTTAGCTATGTAGTCATTACGAAGCTGAACAATTCTCAATTTCATAACGATATCCAATTTGTGATCAACTTCCAGTTTCAATACCCATATATTCTCAAGATATAATGGGAATACACAAAACAATGTTGGTGCATCAGAATTGGACGATTTAGTCGAAGATTTGAAATTAAAATACACCCACTCTGATGCAGATGTTGAGGTAAACGTTACAAAATAGTGTCCTCTCTTTTAACATTTAAAGTTTGACAAAAATAAATTTAAACTACCTTATATTATTTATTTCAATATTGGCAACAAATTATCGATTAACACGGCCACATGAGAGCGTTTTTAATTTCGCAAATCCCAAAAAATACCACTAGAATATTTGAGCAAACCCTAATTAATCATAATGTTATAAATATATTCACAGCTAAACTTCTCGTTCGATGTTGAGAACGGTACTTTGACTGACTTCACGGATACAGCGGATGAGAGCTACGAACTTACTGTCTCTACTGACGAGCAAGGAAATGTTGACGCCAAAGTCAAAGCTGCCTCTTACTTTGTAAGAGCTGTTGATACTACTAGTACTATTAGTAAAAATAGTAAACGTATAAAACAGTGCAACAAATTAAATGAAATTTTCATTTAGAAATAGAATTGATCTTGTTTGTTGATCTGGTGAGATTCCCAATCATATTTCCACCAGGGAGCGCGTCATGGAGTTGAAACACTGTCCCAGCTGGCTCTATCCGACACAGTGGACAACAGGACCTACATAGTTAACAGTATAAAGATAGTGGACAGTCCTTATTATCCCTGGCGAGGACTGTCACTTGATACCAGCAGGAACTACATTTCAACTCCTGTTATCAAGTAGGTTATCAATCATGGTTCCATCTTTACTATACATATACTAATACTATATACTGAGAGTCTACTCTACCTAGTTAATGTGAGAATTATGTCTATCAGCTGTATGGTTCAGGTTATTGGGATAGCTCTAAAGCTATTCTATAAACAATTTACATGACTATTTCATTAAGTATCAGTATAGCACAGTAATAAGTTTTTCATTGCAATGTGTTCAGGAAGATTCTAGATGGTCTAGCAGCAGCTAAGATTGCAATGTGTTCAGGAAGATTGTAGACGGTCTAGCAGCAGCTAAGATGATAATTGCAATGTGTTCAGGAAGATTGTAGATGGTCTAGCAGCAGCTACAGTAATAAGTTCATTAATGGTCTAGCAGCAGCTAAGATTGCAATGCGTTCAGGAAGATACAGGAAGATACTAGATGGTCTAATTGCAATGTGTTCAGGAAGATACTAGACAGTCTAGCAGCAGCTAAGATTGCAATGTGTTCAGGAAGATACTAGATGGTCTAATTGCAATGTGTTCAGGAAGATACTAGACAGTCTAGCAGCAGCTAAGATTGCAATGTGTTCAGGAAGATACTAGATGGTCTAATTGCAATGTGTTCAGGAAGATTCTAGACGGTCTAGCAGCAGCTACAGTAATAAGTTCATTAATGGTCTAGCAGCAGCTAAGATTGCAATGTGTTCAGGAAGATACTAGATGGTCTAATTGCAATGTGTTCAGGAAGATACTAGACAGTCTAGCAGCAGCTAAGATTGCAATGTGTTCAGGAAGATACTAGATGGTCTAATTGCAATGTGTTCAGGAAGATACTAGACAGTCTAGCAGCAGCTAAGATTGCAATGTGTTCAGGAAGATACTAGATGGTCTAATTGCAATGTGTTCAGGAAGATTCTAGACGGTCTAGCAGCAGCTAAGATGAACACTCTGCACTGGCACCTCTCCGACAGCCACAGCTTCCCCTTTGTCAGTAAGACAGTCCCTAAGATGTCAGAGTACGGGGCGTATCTTCCTGATAAAACTTACACTCCTGAAACTGTGAAGGATATCGTCACCTATGCTAAGGTTAATTACGGGTGTTACTCGTAAAATATTTGTTCCAAATATTCCAAATAGACCGTCAATTTGCAACGAGTCCAACTCTGCGCGCGTCTTGGTACTATCATGGTAGGTTATAAACAATGCTAAGGTTAATGTCTGAGGTGTTTCCTTTGATCTGTTATTTTAACATACTCGTTAACTTTAAGTGGTAAACCTTGGGTAACAATTAATCTATAACACGATTTGACCAAATCACAGTGAGGAGAGATACATGTTTTTTACGTACTGTTTTCAGAAGCGGGGTATTAGGATAGTTCCGGAGCTAGACGCCCCAGCACATGCTGGATATGGATGGCAGTGGGGCAAGGCTGCTGGGAAAGGTAGGTTGAGGATACCGTGAGGGAAAATGTAGGAATATCCCAGGGACTAAAGTTATTTTGTTATAAAAAATAAGATATTTTATGGAGTGTTGAAATTAAATAAATAAACTAGTTTCCAATCTCAATATCCAGGTGATCTAGTCGTGTGTGTTGGTAAAGAACCGTGGACTGACTATTGTTTGGAACCGCCCTGTGGGCAGATGAATGTAGTTAACGAGGAGCTGTACCCTGTTTTAAAGGTCGTTTTCGTTAGAATAAATATTTCGTTAGAATTTGAATTCAGCATTTTTACACGAAACTCTGAGTCTGAGGGGACTGAGATTTTGGAAACTGTTTAAGAGTTTAAGGGTGCTTATCACACTCGCAGATTTCTTCCTCATTAAAGAAAGCAGTTCTTTACCTCCAACCATCATTCCAGGATATATACCAAGACCTTAAAGACTCGTTCCCAAGCCAATGGTTGCACATGGGAGGAGACGAAGTTAATTTTGATTGCTGGAAATCTGAGACATCTATCATTGACTTTATGGAGTCCAAAGGGTAAGCTAAATGAGCGAGATTAAGGGGAGATACACCAAAACCGTTTTTGCTCCGAACATCGATTTTATTTTATATTATTTTTAAATACTTTCAACACTACTATATAACAAATAATTTGAGGTATCGAATTATTACAAAACAGTTGTTTAGTTTTTTTAAGAACTGACAATTTGTCACTTGTCCCTTCGGTCCTTGATCTTTCTAGCAGGGTTTTTGACATGGAAAAGATGAAGTTGGACATGAAAAAGATGGAGGAACAATTGGAAAAGATAAACCGCAATACACTTTTGTTTAAAGGTAAGAAAGATGATAATGACAATAAGATTAAGGTAACTATTCAATCAGCGATATTTGATGAACTTACGTCTGCAAATAAAAAAATGGAGATGTTTGTTGTTATCCAGGATTTGTACACTTTCTCCAAAAATGCTCTCCAACTAACACAACAAGTTTTAGGAACAAAACAAGCCACAACTCCTATTAAACAGGAATCACCAGATTTCAAGGAAATTATAAAGACACAGCTCAAAGAGGTACTAGCAGAAGTACTGCCCACAATACTACCAGATTTATTGAATACAGTGGTAGCAACACTACCCAAAGAAAAGAAAGCAAAAGAAGAAACTATGCTTGCAGAAAAACACACACTCACAGTTGAGAAAAAGACCACAGACTCTGAAGACGCAGAACCTATCACAATTGATGATGAAAAGGAAATGAAAGGTTCCCTTAAAATAAACCCAGTGAAGAATTTTAGAGTGTCCGGAAATACTGCGACTTTCAAGTTCAGTACCAAGGATCAACTTAACAAAGCTGAGACGGTATTTAAAAGTCAAGATAAATACAAGGTATCGACAAAGTCCGAACCAGGGAAGAAATTGGACCCCAAACTGTCTATTCGAAATATTCCCTCTGACATCACAAACAAGGATACATTGCTAGAGAAACTGTTGGAAAAGAATGAAGTACTGAAGTCCTCTTCTGAAAAAGACGATGCGGTTAAAGTGGTTTTCTTCGATGATAAAGAGAAAACGGCTGTCATCCGTGTCACTGCAGCAGTACGTCAGTCAATCAGACAAAACAGAGACTATGTACACATTGACCTTAGGGAACACCATGTCACAGACCGAATTCATGTCATCCAATGTTATCATTGCCAGGAATTTGGTCACATGGCTAACTCCCTGTACTGTAAAGCCAAAGATAAAGACCCAACATGTTTCTTCTGTGCAGGAAACCACAAGTCAAAAGACTGTAGAAGCAAGAGTGAAAATATTGTCACAAAGATAAAGTGCTCTAACTGCGCCAAAAGTAGTAAACACTCGGAGAAGAACTCAGCAAAGACCCATAAAGCCTCTGACAACCTATGTCCCTCGTATGTAAGAGAACGGATTGGAATCATGAATAGGACAGCAGGATGTGAGAGTTCAAAAAACTGGTACGTACAGAAGACAAAGGAGACCAAACTACGCCTAGGAAGAGTTTAAGGATTGGAACGTTCAATGTAAGATCCCTAGTGAACAAAACAGTCGGAGTCTTAGAGCATCTTCAAGAAGTTGACTGTGACATCTGTTTTGTACAAGAAACTTTCTTTCGTGATGGAAACACAGCTAAGATAATGGAGATCAAAGACCTTGGTTGGAATATACTCTCGGACCCACGAAAACATAGAGGAGGAGGAGGTATAGCTATGCTATTTCGTGATGTCCTCCAGTTAAAATGTAATAGTAAGGTCACGAAGTACAAATCCTTCCAAGTGATGGAATCACTGCTACAATCTCAACAAGATATTGTGAGACTTGTGAACTTGTATCGGCCTCCTTATACCAAGAAGGCTCGGTACACGGAGTGTGCCTTTCTAGAAGAATTTGAAGACTACCTTAAAGACCTCACAGTCAAACCTGGTTTTCCTATTATCGCTGGAGATTTCAACTTTCACATGGAAAAGACTGAAGAACACTACCCAAAGAAGCTCTACCAACTCCTGGAGGAGTATGACCTTTATCAACATGTTCCTCTTGAGCCAACCCATGACCAAGGTGGAACCCTAGATCTTGTAGTTACTAATAGATCCTTCAAGGAAAAACTGACTTCATTTGAAATCCGTCCCTCAAGAACCAAATCTGACCATTTCCTTGTCCTCTTCGATGCAGACATCAAGACAAAGACCAAAGAAGACGTTAAATTTATGAACTACAGAAACTTTAATTTAATTGATACAGAACAGTTTAAAGAAGATATTGTAATTTCAAAACTGACAAACTTCCCCAAAGATATGTCTCCGAATGATGCTGTCGTCCTTTACAACACCGTACTCACTCAGTTAATGGATAAACATTGTCCCTACATAAAAAAGAAGATTACCAAGAAGCCAATGCCCTGGTTAGATCTAGAACTTCGTATTCTCAGGCGAAAAAGAAGAACTGCGGAACGTGCCTGGAGAAAAGATAAAGTAGATTATATAGACAGTGAAAGATCTGAGTACTTGAGATCTGATTATGTTAAGCTAAGAGATGAGTTTTCCCGAGTAGAGTTTGTTAAAAGATGTGCTCACCACAAAACCTCTCTTAGGTCCTCTTCAGGGGATACTAAAGCATTGTACAAAAAAGTCAACAGACTTTTAGGAAATGACACCCAAAACCTTCCAAACTACAAGGATCCTGTTAAACTATCAGAAGATTTTAAAGATTTTTTCGCTGAAAAGGTTGCTACCATCAGACGAGCCATTGAGAAGGAAGGAAAAGATTCTGTTAAAGACAAAGACAAAGACAAAGACAAAGACAAAGACAAAGACAAAGACAAAGAAAAAGACAAAGACAAAGACAAAGATATAAACAAAGACAAAGACAAAGACAAAGATATAAACAAAGACAAAGACAAAGACAAAGACAAAGACAAAGACAAAGACAAAGACAAAGACAAAGACAAAGACAAAGACAAAGACAAAGATCCTGTTCTTGATAAAGACTTCATCTTTGATAATTTCTCTGAGATAACAGCTGATGAACTCAAAGACCTGGTATCGAAGATGTCTAACAAGTTCTGCTGCTTGGATCCGATCCCAGCATTTCTCTTAAAAAACTGTGTCGCTGAACTGACACCTATTTTACTCCACGTCTTGAACTCATCCTTAAAGACTGGAATCTTTCCCTCAGATATGAAGAAAGCAGTCATCAAGCCGACTTTGAAGAAGGAAAATGCTGATGTTGATATTCTCAGTAACTATCGACCAGTCTCTAACCTCTCTGCGTTCTCCAAGATCCTAGAGAGAACTGTACTTAACCAGCTCAACGTCCATCTCACGACACATAGCCTCTACTCGGACGTCCAATCTGGATACCGCCCTAACCACAGCTGTGAAACATTACTTGTAAGAATGTGTGATGATCTTAACAAAGAAATTGAAGCTGGGAATGTTGTTATTGTTGTACTTCTCGACTTAAGTGCAGCGTTTGATACCATTGACCACACAGTCTTATTGGAAAAGCTTATGAAAGACTATGGAATTACTGGAAGTGCACTGCAATGGATAAAGTCCTACCTTGAGAAGAGACACTTCTGTGTGAAGATTGACGATAATCTTTCTACTTTCTTGGAGCTTTTGTTTGGAGTTCCCCAGGGATCACTCTTGGGGCCTATTCTTTTCATCCTCTATATCAAAGCTCTCCAAAAAATTGCTGCCAAATATGGTCTTGATATACAGCTATATGCAGATGATTCCCAACTGTACATCTCGTTTCAACCAAACCGTGTGGTACAGTTCACTGATGTCCAAGACAGGACAAACAAATGTCTTGCAGAGATCAAAACATGGATGGTGAACAATTACATGAAACTGAATGAAACAAAGACAGAACTACTGGTGTTAGGAAAGAGCCATGTTCTAAAAAAGTGTGAACTCAGTGTCAGACTACAATTCGGAAGCACTGAAATTCTACCTACGGAGTGCAAAGGAGACAGCTGGAAGAGTCTAGGTGTCAAATTTGATGAAACTTTAAACATGGAAAGACAAATAAATAATGTGAAAAGGAAATGTAGCTGGACAATGATGAACTTAAGAACTATTGGTCGTTACCTGGATGAAGGCATTAAATTGATGTTGG